CAAGACTACGAGAGAGCCATAGACTTCCACCTCAAACATCTGGTCATCGCTCAGGACCTTAATGACCGGTACCACATCAGCACTTGCTTATTGCTCACTTTCCTCTGACTTTCTTTAATGGTTCTTAAACTGGGAGCAGTTTTTGTGGTGTTGCAATGAACACCTGCAAGACTCAAGTGGAGATGGGGTGATGTGAAATGGACTTTTAAAGACTTTAATGTGGTGCATATATGACAGTGTACACAAACGTTTGCTATGTATTTTAAAGATTTATTAAAGTACAAGTTTCTGTAGGAAACCAGCCCTTAATTTGTAATGTTAGGATAAAGATGTATGGAGGATATAAATGTGCCTTTAAAAGATCCCTTCAATGTGACTACATTCAGGCAAAAACTGAGAATTTTGTTTGCTCTGCAAAACATGTACACACACTTTAGATTGTCTTTTATGATTAGGAGTTCTTGTTTTTGCACACTGTTAGTTATAGCTGCTAAGCCGGTTTTCCTCTGTGTCCCTGCAGAGTGGGAGAAGGAAGAGCCTACTGGAGCTTAGGAAATGCTCACACCGCCCTGGGGAATCACGAGAGCGCTATGTTCTTCGCTGAAAAACATCTGGAAATTGCCAAAGAGGTGTGTGTGTGTGTGTGTGTTTGTTTGTACTTCACCTCCCATTTCATAGTTGTATACGAGTATTCATGTAGCATCATCTCCATCTAGTGGTTGAAAACTAAACTGCAGGACATAAGTGTTGAATGTTTGTATTTTTATTAGCAGCAGTTTATTGGAACTTTTGTTTTTTTTTTTTGTTCCATTTTTAACGCTGCAGACTGGAGATAAGAGCAGCGAGATGACCGCCAGGATGAACTTATCTGACTTGCGGATCGTTGTTAACCTGAAGGCAAACTCCAGCCTGAACCACATGTTCAGCAACAGCAACACCAACAGCTCTGGTGTGGCAGACAACATTCAGGGTTACATCAACCTGCCAGGTGAAGTTGTCTGGAAGCATGGAGCTTTTACTAATGCCGGTTTTAAAACATCCAAATGCTTTCAGCTGCATTTCCTAGCAGGAAATCTGCCAGAAATGTTATTCCTGAAAACTTTTTACCTTTTCTCTGTCTGCTTGTAAAAATGCTGTGAAAAGATTTCAGATTTACTAAGTGGTTACGTTTTCTTTCTTGCTTTAGGTTGCAAGTCATCTTTGAGGAGAAGAGAGAGTCCAGAAAACATGGAGCGTAGTCAGAGTCCTGTTAAAACTGAAAAAGTGGAGCCACATCAGGTATGAAGAAGACAGATGATTAACTTAAGCGATCTGTGTTGATAAATATGTTTTTTAAAAAGTCATCTTTGTGTATCCAGGACTGGGATGAACATCTGTTCACCGGCTCGTCAAAAAACAACACAATCATGGCGTCTACCAAGAATTTTTTCTTCCACCGCCTGAGAAGCAAGAAGTACAAGGACAGCAAATCGAAAGAGCATTTGGAAAACCTGAGTGAGCACCCGGCCTCCCAGGAGGACTCTCCTCTGTCTAAGGTATTTCTCAGATGAAGAAATGCATCATGACTCATGATGCTTATTTCTAGAACCGTTCACTTGTTTTCAGTAATTCTGACCAACTCTGAGATCATCTGCCTCTTTTAGGGTTAATAAAAGGAAGTAATGTGACGGTGTGGGACGATCCTTCCTGACTCACATCAGAAATGTCTGTTAAAGAACATCAGCAAAGTTTTTATGCAATTTATTTTGAGGCTTTGTAAACCACTATACCATCAGAGTATATGTGGATTGTGCTACCTTAATACAAAATGAACTCAATATAGGAATTTTAAAAAAAAATGTGCAGAGACTAAAAAGTTTTGTAAAAAAGGTAAAAATGTAAGCTAGCAAGCTGTCGGCATTCAAACGTATGCCTTAAAAAACCTTTTTTAAATTATTATTTTTGGTTATTTTGTGAATACACATTAGTAATTCAATATTGGACTAAAATTAATGTATTTTTATTGATGTATTCTTTAGTGGTGAATTACGTTTCTGTACCGTAATTAATGAAACACTAACCAACATTTTGATGTGTAAATGACGGCACTTGGAAAAATATAATGTTTCGGTTGTTGTTTTTTTATGTTTGTTGCTGAAATATACTTTACAAATAAAACTGGATTTGATTTAATACTAAAATTAAAATAAGAATAAATTGAAGAATAAATTTCACTCGCGCACACTTGTCAGAAGAAATATATTTTCAGATTAAGTGCTTCGTAGACAATCTGATTTTTTGTTTCTTCGAAATTAATTTATTTTTTCCCAATAGTTACTAAATCTCTTTTTGTCCCAACACCGTAGTCGACGCCACCCGATACCATAGGGGAGGACACCTTCTTCGACCTCCTCTCCCGTTTCCAGGGAAACCGAATGGACGACCAAAGGTGTACACTGGATGGCTTGAACCGCTCCTCTGCCCAACCCTCCCCTACCTCTTCCTTACCTGTAGCTGAGGAGAAATGTGAGTGTCCTGTGTTTTCAGACCATATGTGAGAACATTCATATTCTGAATGATCTCATGCACACCAAAGAAAACTGAGGGTCATTTTTCCTGTTGCTCTTTCCTCACTAAATGTAAAAAAGTTTTAGTAATGCCTACTTCAGAGAAAGCATTGCAACTTCAGCACATATGGTATGACTGCAGCGTGTCAACAGTTCAGTGTTTGTTCGTTCCTGTGTTTGATAATCCACCCAAAGTCTTCCTGCTTTCATCCTCCACCGAGCAGAGTGGCACAATTTATACTGCTCGACTCTGTAAGTTAATCTGAACTCAATGCTGTATTTTGGGTGAAATATTATTCATTTAGATATTTGTTTTAGATTAAGTTATCCTCCTTTTCCGCCTCAGTCACACAGCGTTGTCCAGGCAGTGAGTATTTACTTACTTGCCACGGTTTTTATGTTTTTAGGTATTTCAAAGCACGAAACTCCATCACAGGATCCTGGTCATTTCCTGGAGCTGCTGGCCAGCTCCCAGGCCCATCGTCTGGACGACCAGCGAGTCAGCCTCAACCAGTTACCTGGCTTGCGTCTCAGCAGCTGCAACCCGCCTCATATGCCCTCCGCCTCCAGCAAAGACCAAGCCCAATCTCAAGGTGATAGAAATGAGAGGCTCGGTGCATTTTAGTGACGCCTTCTGGTGACATTTTTCACTTTGTGATCACGGTTTTTGTTGTCCCTGCAGCCCTGATCTCCAGTGCAGATACTCCTCGCGCACCCTCCCTGTACAGCCATCTCGAAGACAACGCTGACGGGCCAGAGGGAGACGAAGTCTTCTTCGACATGCTCTTGAAGTGCCAGGTAATGACGGACATGCGAGGTGGTGGATAGAGTCGGTGTTATGTCTCCAGCAAATGGAATATCTCCTTTTTTTTTTTCATGCCAAATGAGTCACACAGTTAATAACTATGACCTAGATGCTAGTCACTGATTGGTATATTTATCCAGAAAACTTTTAATGTGAAGGAATATATGTTCAGATTCAACTTCAACTGCTATTTTTTACATAAGCATCCCACAAATGTAATATGAAACTGAAATGAATGCTGACATTAATAAAATAAGAAAGTGAAAAGGAATGACTTGTCGGGGTTTTTTAATGCCTCCTGTTAGTTTGATCCACTTCCTGAGGTTGTTTATCCTCTTAAATGGAGGCTGGTTGAAATTAAAATGTTTTTTATTTTCTCCCATTACCTTGATTTTTTTTTTATTTTTTATATGTACCACTCGGAGAACTAATCAGGACTCGCTGCATGTCTGTCTTGAATTTAATGTGGGCATTCCCATATATAATAACAATATATTTTTGTTTCCTTTAGTTTGTGCTTGAAAGCTGGTTTCTCATTTTAACATTTTAATACTTGCCAGAGGCTTAACCCCTGATGTTTTGAAAATGTTTTGTTCATCAGTTGAGTAGAAACTTATTTACTTTTTGGTCATAAAAAAAATCTCCAGTTTTACAAAAACTAGATGAGTCAGAACATGATTTAGGCTCTGTTGCTTTTTTTTTTTATCTTTCAACCCAGCTGTTGTCTTTTAGTAAACCCCTGATGTTGCCTCCTTAGGGCTCCAGGCTGAACGATCAGCGGTGCCCTGCTCCAACTTCTAAAGCTAAGGGCCCAACTGTCCCAAACGAGGACTTCTTCAGTCTCATCCTGCGCTCCCAGTCCAACCGGATGGAGGAGCAGCGGGTCGCCGCTCCACCTGGAGTCTCTCAGAGCAAACCGGGCTGACGACAGGCAGAGATCCGCCTCATCCCACGAAGTGGCTCGACTCATGCCTTCTCAGTTGTCATGACAACACTCCTGAATGTCGGTTTGGACGACATGCATCTCATGAAGGAGTCAAGATTTCAGAAAAGGCTAAAAGGAAACTGAGATTTTTTTATTTTTTGAAGTATCTTTTTTTTAGGTGGCCTTCATTTTGAGTCAAACTGGCCGCTGACCTTCCCGCTCACTCTGGAGGATTACACCAAAACAATCCATTGAGACGCCACAGACTAAATCAAAATATAATCTATTTTTTATTTACAGACAGAATATTTTGTGAGCCTTCAGTTTTTGACAGCATACTTGAAAGGAGCATGGCCCACCTCGCACATTTCCCAGTTTGATTTGAGAGAGCTGCCCTCGGATCGGAGGCCAAAATGGTGTGACGCTGCTGGGCAGTGGAGCCATTTACAGCACATCACTTTATGATTTTCAGTTTCACCATCACAGGTTGTATTACTACAAAATGAAAGACTTTTATGTATTGTAACAAACTTACAGGTTAACCAGTGTAATGATGGGAAAATGGATTTTATACCGATTCTTTCTCCTCACAACGGAGAAATAAAAAAATATTCAATTTACCTTTCAGCATCACTGATTCGTTTTTTGTGTACAACAAAGGAATTTCTCCAAAGTTACATAGTTACTGTACAAACATTACAGTTTTTATATTTACAAATCATTATATTTTCCATTTACGAGATGTTTTCAGGTTTGTGTGTCATTTTGACCCCAGACCAGAGTTGATCTTTCTCCGGTTTGTTCTCGTAGCAGGTTTCTTTTCCGTTAATTTGATTCCAGGAATCCCTAAAGTATAAAATACTCAAACTGCTACGCCTCTGACGTCAGCCTCTCTTGGCGAGTGTTGCATCTGGAATGAAAAGAAAAAAATCAGATTTTAATGTTTTATATCATTTTATATCTAAAGCCTGATTTAAATATGCAGCAGCCCAATATTTAATTTAGTCCTGATTTGGTTTCATCACTTCGTAGTGATTTAAAAAAAATAAATCTTTTCAGTCTTGTCCAAATTTTCCCTGGAATCTTTTAGTTGACTTTTGATATTCCTCACAGCCAGGAGTTCATCTTTGATGCAGACTTTGAAGTTCTTCACTGTGTGTCTTGAATTCTCCACTGAACATTTTATAGCAGCCTTCATCAGATCCTGCTGTTGATCTGTATAGCTCTCCTGGCTGAACGGCTAATGTTTGATCAAAATGTTGAGCTTTTATTCAAACGGGTTTTCAGAAATATGTCTTCTTATTCCCACGGCTCATTTGGTCTGAGGAAATAATCTGCTGTGGAAGCTTGGTTATCTTGATTGCAGCTCACCTTTACAATCTAATCAGAGCTGAGCCAAATAAAGGATCATTCTAGATTTCCTAAAGACTTATGTTTCAGTTTTACTTTAAAAATAGTTGTGTGGTTGGAGAAAAACAATGTTTCTGTCGAGTCTGGAAAAGTACAGACTTTGAGTATTGAAAGGGTTTGCAGAGACTGGATGAACATGTAAAAAGAAAATCCATATTTTATACATTTTATCCTTTTTTTTTTCTAAATGGACCAGCCATCCATTCTTTTTTTTTATTCAATCCCTCCATTATTTGTTCCTTTCTTGTTCCTTCCATCTGTCCTTTAGCTGTTTCCTCCTTCACTCTGTACTTAAACTTTTTCTTTTATTCTTTTGTTGCTTTCTTTTAGTTTCTGGTTTGTCCATGTTTAATATTTAAAGTTTGCTATCAGTCCAATATTGGCTGTTTTTTTTTTTTTTTTTGTGTAACTTGTACAAAATTGAATGAGAGGACTATAAGTTTGACTCTAGAAATGTCTGGAATTTCATATATGTGAAGGGACACTAATATATATATATATATATATATATGAAAATCCATATTAAAAGAACAGATGTAGGTCAGCGCTGCAACAAGATGGCCACGTACAAACGGGCTCCTCCATGTCTGTATTTAAATTTTCCCCACCTGCTTAACTGAGATGATTATCAAATCTTCAGTCTAAACCGCTTAAAGGGGGAAGATGCCGAAAATTAACAAGACCGAAAAGAAAACGTCTAAAACACAAGATACTGGCGAACAGTCGGGAGACGGTAGTGAGGATGAGGCTAATGCTACATGAGGAAAGCTAACTTACAACACGCGTTACTGGAGAGTATCAAGACGCTTTCCAAAGACTTAAAAGAGTTTAAAAACGAGATGAAGCAAGACATAGAAGAACTCAAAGAAGATGTAAAGGCAACAATGAAGGAAGATCTCAACAGATTCAGAGGAAATGATGCGCGAGCTGCAGAACCAGAAGGGCGGGATCACCGAGGCGCAGACCCGGAACAGAGCTATGAACGACAAACGCGTGGATTTGGAGAGCGGAAGCCGGAGAAATAATCTTCGTATCTATGGAGTTCCGGTCTTGTGAGAAATGTCGATCGGTTTCAGAGTTTGTCACGGATCTGCTGATCAAGCGGCTGAAGCTACCGGATGGAAGTGAACTACGGATTCAGCGGCACACCGAGCTCTGGCTCCCAGACCGCCTCCCAACACGGCCCCGAGATCTATAACTGTGAATTTCTTGCAATTCAACACAAAGGAAATGGTTCTAAGGAAAGCCTGTGAACAGAAATTGGAGATGGAAGAATCTTATGTTTCTCAACTAACAGATCTAGAAAAACAACATAAATTAACCCAAATCCCAACCTGTTTATAAAAATAAAAGAACTAAGAAACAACATTGATAAAATGCTTACATATGAAATTGAAAAGAAATCAAAGAGAAAGGAGGTATGGCATTACATGACTTTAGAAAATATTATCATGCTGCCCAAATAACTCCCATAATAAATATAAGTGCCAAAAATTATGAAGCGAAATGGAAAAATATTGAACAAAAAGTCAATGGAAGAGAATTGCGGAGTATCACTGGAGATATAGAGACCACTCAGAATACACTTAAGAATGTTAATGCCATTAGTTTT